GCTCTACGTCAATCCGACACCCCTAGTTCGCAACGAATCAGACGTGTTTTTTTCTACCTGACAAGCTAGTTTTCTCATGCTGCCCGAAATACGTCGACGAAACGAAGATTGGTCGAAGACAGCTAAATCGGGCCTGACAGAAGTAGTAAGGAAGAAGATTATTAATAAGGGGTGAAATCAGTCTGTTAGCGTAAAAGTAAAAACTTGCCCTCAAACTAATTGAGGTGAAAGCATTTCTTATCTGTATAGAAGTATGCTTTACCATTTATAATATAATTTTTTTTGTTGTCTCATACCCAGACTGAAATCGAAGCCAATCGAAGTTAAAGAAAACTATTTTAATAAATACCGTAATGTGATTCTTCCAAAAGTGGGTAACGACTTTCACTAAACGAATTCTATACGAAAGCAAAAAAATCGTCTTAATTCTATGACCATAATATCTGGATTCTCAGGTGATAAGCTGACTCAATATGACTAAGAATGTCTAAAGTAGGATTGCCTTCTATCTCCATTAAGCGTGGATACAATAATAGTGCCACTTTACCGCTAAATCGTCAACTGTCATCTTTCACTAGCAAGAAGAAAGAACATTGCATCATCACTATCTTGTCTTAAAGTGACACTTAATATATATATATATATATATGATCTTATAGCCAATCTAAGAACGATCAGCATGAAGAAGTAAATCCGCCAACTAAAGTAAATTATGGAAGATATGAAGACCAAGATGGTGTGGCCTTTTGTGGGGTCGCAGTCTCCTTTCGTTGTATATAATTTGTTTGACCTTGTTTTCGCAACTTGGTCATATTGGTAGGACGACTTATAGGAACGCACCTCGTCTTGAGTCCATTGTATGCATAATTATTTTCAAAGTCGGACCGTAGACGTGGTGCTACGAATGGTAAAACTCACTGACGATGCTGACGAAACGTCTGGGAATGTACCACGTCCACGGTCCGACCTTGGAAATAATTATGCATACAATGGCGTTCCTCTAAGTCTTCCTAACAATATGATCAAGTTGCGAAAACAAGGTCCAACAACTTCTAAAGTAAATTATCTTGGCTGAATGAATATCCACTAAAATGACCAAGTGCAAAACGTGTTCTGATTCGCTTACTCCTATCATAAGGTCTCATTTTATAGGTTTCGGAGAGTCATACTATGCCACATGTCAGTTTCAACTCACCTTAGAGAAATAGCGGTTAGAAATGGAAGACCTGAGCTTACTTGTGGGGGGAAAATCGCGCCAGAAACACCCAAGTGCTGGAAGCCAGTCTGAAATGTTGGCATCGTAGCGCCTTGGGCATAATAGGCTGCACCACCCACAAGACCGACGCCAGTTGCGCTGCTGTTCTGGCTGTCCTGAGGGCTTGCCGGCGCTGGTAACGGCGGCTGCGGGTACTCTGGTGGAGGCGGGATCACAAGACGAGGACTCCCGTGCCTTCCCGACGGGTGGAGGCCGGTACCAGCGCCAGAAGTACTTGGAGGTACAGTGCAAATGCCGCTACCACTGTCTGGTGGGCAATTGACACCGTTGCTAAGGCCGCATATCTCGGTCGTCGTTTGGCTCACAGACGACCTGGGAAATCCACCAAGGCCGCCAGAACCATCACACTGCTTGGCCGGTGGATAAAGATCATGAGGTTGCCGATGGATATGATTATGGCTGTGCTGTGGCAGGGCGGGTGTGGACGGCGTGTCGAAAAGCATGTGCTGGATCAAAGATGCGCTGGCATACGGTGAAGCCGAATCCTCACCGATATCTGCACCTTCCGTGCAGACAGAAGAGTTGGCGGCATGAACACGCCTCTCGAAGCGTGCAGAAGCTGGGCCTGTAATCGGATCATTGTCGACACAAGTCATTGTCCTGCTCTCCTCTAACTCTCTGTCATCTTTCATCTCAACGCCGACCATGTCGTCGTCCTCCATGCCATCCTCCAGGTCATCCGGGGCTGGACACAATGGCTGACAATCGATAAGGGCTCCGGAGAGATAAAGACGACCATCGCCGGTTCGCAACTGTCCAGTAGACTGTAGCCCTAAATTGTCAAAAGTGAGAAAGAAAAGCAGGACATGTAAAGATAGCGCATGTAGCATATAATGAAAAAAATGAATATAACAAAAGAAGAATGATGCATCCTAAAAAAAGGAAGGCTGTTTTCTTGCGCCTCCAATATTCTGATGCAAGAGGCTTCTCCTGACTAGAGAAAATATCAGGAAGCAAAGATAACTACAAAGCCGAATCATTAACTTCAAGAATTACCTATCTTGAGAAATGACATAGCGAGACAAATGAAAAATGTCCTGACCAAGGCAATAGAAAAAGATCCTCAAACAAATTAATACGCCCTCTTAAACTCATGATAGGAGTATAGATTGCCGAATTAGCAATAATGCTAATCAGAGCTTCTGGAACGAAGGACATTCAATATTTCACATTGGCCATAAGCTGCAAAATTAATATTCTGGATAAAACTTGGGCTGAATATATACTGAGTCATAGTATTATGCCTACGTTGGGTTCGTTTGTAACCCTTAGTATTCGAATCAGCAACTTGGAAAAATTGAGGTCATAATCAAAATCTAGTGATAGTCCTGAAAACTTATTTGCTATCAATATAGATAAAAGGCAGTCTGATATCACAAGTGATGTTTTATGCTAAAGGTCATCCAAGATAATGAAGTAAATATATATAGGTAACTGGAAAGCAAAGAATAATAGAAATAAGCGCAGTGTAAAGTAAAAATAATAGAAGTATAATATAGAAAAACAAAATAGGGGAAGGAAGGAAATAGTCAATGATCGGATGTTAAGTAATCTTAAATATACATCATTGTCTCCTTTTAAAGACCATGGTACTCTAAATGGCTAGGATAATCCACCCATTCATACGCATACACAGTCCGAGGAAGAGTTAGTTATTTCCAAAGATTGATGTTAAAAGGTTAAATCTAAATTCTCAAAATGCGACAATATGAATAATGATATGTGATGAAGAGCTGTATTTCGAAGAGGCCCAATAACAATTTGATGTCAATAGACCTATTAGTTAGTAGAAAATATTTGGATGGAAGGGATTCACCAGTTGACTACGTAGTTGCGATTACTGATTTGGACAAAGTCCGCCAAACGCCACTCTTTCGTATGTCGTATGATAGACGTAGTCAGAGGCAGAAATGATTCTTGTAAAAAATTGATCAAGCATTAAACTAAAAATCTGTCGCATAACAGATGATAGTTCAGCACGGATTGATTCGGATTGGAATAATTCTCAGTTTAACTCCACAGCCATAATTAAAGTCGGTACTTCTTCGGTTTATGGTGAAGCCAAATTATGAAATAAAGACCTAATTACAGCAAAAAAGATACAAAAGTACAGCTAAAATAAAGTTGATTTGACCTCGTTTTCGCAATTTGGTTAAAGCATCAGGGAGACCTTGTGGAACGTACCTAGTCCTGTGCCCTCTGTCATAGTATTCGTGATGTCCAGCATCGGACCATTGACTTTGTAAATTCCCAAATGTTTCGCCGGCATCGTCAGTGAGAGGCGCCATCGTTAGCACTTATTAAAGTGGCAAGTGAAGACAATCCCCTTGACCAGTTTTATGTTCAACCGTTCAACTGTCCTGTTGCCTTCACTTGTCACCTTAATAGGTTGTAACTCTGTACTAATGATGGCGCCTCTCACTGAAGATGCCGGCGAAACGTCTGGGGGTGTACCAAGTCAGTTGTACGATACTGTAAATCACGAATACTATGGCAGGGAACGCATGACCAAGTACGTTCCACATGGTCTAGCTGATGCTTCGACCAATTTGCAAAATCTAGGTCAAACTAGCACTATAAAACTAAGGGAGACTGCGATCAAGCAGAAGGCCACACAGTCTTGGTCTTCATATCTACGAAATTAAAGTTCAGGTTGAATGTTTTACTCAGCCTAAACCACTTTATATGGACACATTTAGGCAGGAAGAGAAACGGTAAAGAACATAACGCTAATGCAAGTCTGTCTCTATGAAACCGAACTGATTCTGCAATAGCCACGCCAAGCATAACAACATGTGCTATGTTGCGAAATAATAACTACGTTTATACTTTTCCGTTCAAGGCAATGAAGTACTGGTAGTTGAACTTTCTAACAATCATAAGAGTAGGGCTTACGTTTCCATTGTATTTCATAAAGCTTTGTTTCCAAAAAGGTATTCTCACTCGATTACACTACTTATTTTCCGTTTTATAAGTAGGTTTTCGAGATTATCATTAGGGCGCATATGTGAAATGTATTCACTCTGTTTCGTTTAAGGTGATAAAGTTGATTGCTATACCAAATATAACTTTGCTTCATCGACGATTCCATCACAGAAAGTGATATGAAAAAGGCCCAATTTTTCTTGAAATCCATGTCTTCCCAGTGGCCCAAGGAAACTCTTAGTAGTGTGGCGTACTGGTTAACGTGTATTTATTACACACGGCAATGCTACAAGCCGGGTTTGTGAAAATCAGTGAAAACATGAAGCCTACTGATACGATTGTGAAAATTAAACTAATAATATTTTATCACCTTAAACAGAGTAAGGTCAATGCAATTCTTATTCATGATCTACAGGTAGCCTCGAAAACCTACCTAGAATAGAAAAAATGTTGCAAAATGATTATTTTTGATAATTAATTAATTACAGCATAATGAATTTTTTTATGGTGAAGGGTAAATAACATATAATTTACAGAAAATGATAGCTCAACTTCGAATATAAAGGGTATTTGTCCAAATAACTCGTAACAAAACAGTAAAATAGCAATAAAACCCTCTGAAGATAATAAAGAAATTTAGGAAAAAAAAGTGTTTTAAACGTAATTGTATTTTTTAAATATTTATGTTTAATGGTGTGTAATTTGTCTTTGTTGAGTTAACTTTCATTTGGAGTGAATGTGAGAGATTCGAAATTCGATCCTACCAGAAGACGAAGAGGGATTCTTCTTGACCAGCTGCCTATTTGCTTTACTGGAACATTCTCGCTGACACCGTTTCGGAGACAATCACCTCCGACTCCGATGAGAGCGTGTTAAACTTTCGTCCGTCCTATGAAGGATACGATCAGAGCAGGATATAATCCTCACAACCATATTCAAGCTGACGAGTCAAGAAAATTCACCGTACATATATCATTTATATAAGCTATTTGACGGGGTATAAAGTGGTTTAATCGACGGAATCGAACCTAATCAAAGCAAGCAGTACCACAACATTTGTGGGTTTGGACACAAGAGACTAGGGCATGGTAAGTCATAGACTTGGTATTAAGGATAGGAACAGGATAGACGTGGCGGAGACCGGAGCTAGTTGACTGACAGTCGGTCTGTTTCTATCATGGACGTGGTCCATGTAGCAAAGGCGTGACCATGGGACTTACTGAGAGGCTTTAGCCTCGAATTAGTCACCCAGACGCAGGGGAGGGCGAGTAGCGCCTCGACTAGCACAGATGGGGTAGCAGTAGTCGAGTGAAATACGTGAACCAGGGAGAGAGCAGACGGATCTCATGGGGCAAGAGAGAAATTATTATAAGACCTAGGGAAGAAGGACTGAGTAACAATATGGCAGACTCTGATCAA